GCCTCAGTCTACGAAGCTTACAAATTTACACTTATTACACGCATCTCATTTCAGTCCAGTAGCCGTCACCACCAAGTCCATCACCTTCTCGTAAGCCCCTTTGCCGGGATTGTCGCTCGATTCCCCAGGCGGACCCTTGCTGAAAGGATTGATTCCCTCCTTGCGGACACATCCGATTGTATCTTTTTCCTGCATGTATCAAGTAGTTACAAAAAACACAGTCCTCCATGCAAGCCCAGAGAAGAAGTGTGAGGTTGGCAGAGTACTGGAAGGATTTCGCATAGAACCCCCAGCTCATCCATCGCTTTTGCTCGAAGGATGACGTGCCTCTCCTCGGGAAATTAGTTCATGGCATGACGTGACAGGGTACATACCTTTCTATTCATGCTCCGCAATCCGTCGCGCAATCTAGAAGCTTGCATACATCATTCAGAATCGTACAGATTCGATCGAAAGACAGGTCATCCAGTTCGCCCGCAGGGTAGTTGTTCCTGCACGGGTACATTGAAGAGCAACATGTCATTATCGTGTAATCACAGACGAGACACTCTTTCAGAATCGATTCCCCGAATATCTCTTGGAGAGTATCGCCTTTCTCTGCCTCGCCCAGTAATACTACAGACGATGGCATCATTCACACGGAAACTTACGGAAGCCAAGAAGCGATGGCCAGATAGCGCTGACCGGCAGCCTTCCAGCCTTGTCCAAGACGAGCAGTGTGCCACGGAGCCCGACGAGATTTGAAGAGCCACGTGGTTAGAGCATACATTCCTCAGCATACGTGCACATTCCTGACCTACATCATACATGCCAAGTACATTCCTCGTGTCCAGAATCTCTTGCTCTTCCGGTTGCAGTTCAGCACACGAAGGAAGTAGGCGTGCAACTTGTGCCTTCGCTGCTAAGGCCCGGAATACTTTCAAACAAGCATGTTACGGAAGAATTACACTGGGCGTACGCCATGCAGTCCGTGTGGCAGTTCATCACGAACCAGCCGTACAGCAACATCCTTGGAGTGAAGGTACATGACGGCAGCATAGAGCGGAGACCCCTCGTCAGCCCCGAGCACCAACCTCATGTGAGAATGAGGCTGGTGTTTGCACGGTGCGTCCCAGCGAGCGCAGCCCGTGGTGCCGTTCGTTATGAAGGGAATGTCGTCGTAGTGGCATCTAGTCTCGCAGGTTGGGTCAATGGGTCTCAGGATATTCTCAGGCACAGCCAGGTCGAGCTCCAGCTGATTCAAGCAGTTTAGCACCGCCCGCAAATGCTCGCGGGCGGCCAGTTTGCGTTGCTTCATACCACTGATCACGCGAGGCCTCCGCTCACTCTCTTACATGCTGGTTTTAATTCGTGCAGTAGCATGACTCTAGTTGGGTCTCGGTGGCATCTTCGAAACAGATTTGTGATTGCTGTCGGGTTCCAGGAAACGCGTAGCCATGTCGTCCATGACTTTCTCGCCTTCCTTCATTTTCATCTCGTTGGATGCCGTTGAAAAATGGATGTCAGACATGCGCTGCAGAACCCAGCTGATCAGAGTCTTGTTGACCACTATCAATGGACACCAAACCTGGGACAGATTTCGTGTCAGGACTTGCCTCGGACTATCATTAATAGTTCTGCGACAGGAAACATCCATCTTAGCTTTCGGTGACGCGTCCACGATCATCGTGATGGAGGGTATGGGCATACGGTCCAACTCCTGAAAAACTACGTCAACCTGAAAGAACATGTTACGCATTTCTCTACAAAGTGTCCTCGTGCACGACGGTTGCACTCCGCCGCCAGTAACGATAGATGAAGTCGCAAGCCAGCCTCGCGAGAAAGAAGTTAGAAGAGGGTTTCCTGATAGCGTTGCGTACACATGTCGAAGCCTGTGCGAGCGCGTCGGAGCCAGTTCCGACAAACCTAACTCCTGGAGAGTTAATTTGTCCTGCTGGCCATACAGCCCATTCTTCTTTTGGAGGAAGCGGCTGAGGGCCATGACATTCTTCACCTTGCGCTCCCGCTTCAGCAGCCGACCGTCCCTAAGACAGCACGCGTGTTGAATGTATGAACCGGTTCGCACAAGCATTGAAATCAAGCTGTGCCAAGCTACTTCTTGGCAGGATGACAAACGTCCCCAAGTTGCGGCGTTGGCACTTCCGCGACCAGTCTTTCATTGATGTGCCCTTCGCCCGCTTGGGCGAGCAGATGAAGCAACCGCTTCTGAACTCGACTTGCATCCATGCCTTCGCCGTCCTCATGATTTTTCGAGCGAGGACGTGAAGTGTGTGAGTCATGACATGTTGACTGAGAACTCCTCGAACATGTGATCTCCATGAGGAATCCGGAACAGAAACACTGCCAGTAGGGCAACGTGAATGCCTGCTTACATGACCGTACAAGAGAACATTTAGAATTGTTCAGCTCTGCCTGTGTTCAAGTCGACCTGCGCCGTAGTCAACAGTCGGAATCTCTTCCACCTCCATGGTAGGCCATTGCAGAATATGTGCCAGAACAGAATGAGAAGCCAAGAAACTTCTCTCTCATTCCCAGATATTCCAGGGCAGCAGCCAATTTAGCAATGTCCACGTGCCATTGTCGGATGGGCAGCCGGCCTTGCAATGGACTGGCTACGTCAAGATACTGGTGAAGTGCAAGTGAAGTTCCATTATACGATTCCTAATTTTCTGGGAACCAAGAAACATTCTGGAACTGCTGGTAGAAGAGCAAGACTAAAATCGGCCGGGCAAGTGTTGCCAAGGAGAGTGATGAGAACATCCAGGATGATCTTTTGTGAAGGCAGACTACACGAACGTATCTGCAGAGGAGACACAGCCTCGAGACAGAAGGAGTTTTCTTGATCACTCTAGTATACAATAAGTCAACTAGGCGTCCACAGCGAGGAGAGCCGGCAATGTCCACCCATCGAAAGGAAGACGCAGGCACTGATCGGACAGTTGTCTTTTTGTCCCTTTGTAGTTCTCATGCCTGAGTATATGACGTTCCAGGTCGATCTCCACAGCTGCGGCAAAATCAGAAGCCACTGAATCTGACCTGACACAAACAATTTAATGCATTAACGTGCGAATCTACATGAAGAATAATCCTTGCATGCAGATAGCTTTTTCGTGAACCAATTCCCAAAGTTCTGCTGTCGTTTCAGCATCTGCCAGGTCTCCTCCACTCGCCAAATATGACAATAACCATCGATGGCATTGTCTTCACTGACCTGCATGGCACTAACTGCTAAGTAGAAGCAAGCAACTAAGACAGAACCACCAGCCTCGTGCAGCTGCATTACCCCTTGCAGTCCATGAGGATGACGCAGAGGAAGAAACTTCACCGTTGTGCAGCTGTAGGCCACAGCAGTAGGAGGTTCCTCCGGCAGCTGAGGCCCCTCACGAGGGGAGCCCTGGTCGCTTGCTGCTTCCTCCTTCGGAGGAAATAGTCGCGGACGCAAACAGAGGCCAACACCAGCCGCAGATACTCGGCACCGGTCCAGGGTCTCCTGAGTACACGCGATATGTGAAAATTATTCAAGGACTCGAACCTGCAACCCGTCCATACGCGAAACATGACTGAAGTCCTCCCACTCGTGAGGAAGCATGTTCTCCTTCGTGGCACCACTCTTCACTTGATTGTCCAAAATAACCAGCTTCGAAGCACATCGAGAACGCAAGGAATTGCGCCGGTCATGTTCCTGTGTCCTTAATTGAAAAAAAAATCCTGACACTCCAGACATAAAACGAAGCAGCACGCACTAAACGGATTTCAGCGTTCCGGGGTCCAAGCAGCACACACTAAACTGGTTCAGCCGAGGCTCTGGTCCAGCTCTTCTATTCTGAGCTTCAGCCAGTTCTCCATGCCTGCGAATTTAGTGAGTGCTGCTTCGTTATCCGGGTGCTGCTTGAAGCGTTCGGGAGACGGCACGTGCCATCAGCCAGCGTCCTGCTGACGGCACGTGCCATCGGTAATTTTCGAAGCAGCACGCACAAAACCAGAATGAAGCAGCACGTTGAAAATACTCGTTTTCTCTCAGACATCCGCGTAATTCATGGTTTAGCAGATTCCGGTTTAGTGAGTGCTGCTTCAGCCGTCCGGTCAACGGCACGTGCCATGACCAGGTCGCCTGAAGCAGCACGAAGGCTTGAAGCAGCACGGTTAGAAAAGTCTACGTCCACCCTTCCAAGCAGCACGTTACGACACGAAGCAGCACGCACAAAATTCGGAAACCCGAATTCCTAGGTTCTGCCTTTAAACTGCTCTTCGGAATCGGGGTGGGATGAGGTCAGAAGTCACACGGATGCCTGCCCAGATCGCCGATGTCACTTCCAGGCCATACGCGGGCAGCGCAGGCAGGTGATATGAGCGTAGAGGTAAAAAGCCACTCCATGGGGGGAGTTCCGCATAATTTCTTTCTCCAGGCTAGTGGACAGCTAGACTAATCCGCGATCATGACTTCATGCTCTTGTATTTCCCACCCAAGACATGAAAAATTGATTTGAGTAGCCATGGTCCATCATGAGACATGCCAAGAACCAGTACGGAAAACTTTTAGGAAACATGCCAACTTGGGCCTGTGATGCACTCAGCACAGTTACGCAAGCGTGTCATACGGAGCGCATGCAGCATGACGGAAAGGAACTGCCACGTGCTATGTTTTTGAAGTTGCGGGCGAAAGGTCATTCAGGCAGACTCCATTGTCAAAGCCGTTCGGAGGATTTCTCACCCTCAGTTGCAGTCAAGAGCCACGGCATGAAATGCTGCACCAGTATTTCTAAATGCTGTAAAGGGGCAGCGCATGATTGGCACGGCGTTCTCAGCAGCAAGCTCCTGCAGTGCCAAGCTTGGAGAACAAGAGCACGCATGGAATTAACGTCTCCTGCAAGCGAGCCGGCCAACTCTGCACCACCCTCTTGCCCTTCATCGTGAGGTTCGAGTAGCTTTTCTTGCTCTCTTCCCCAAGCAACTGATACACGTCACCTCATGTAGTCATGATTACTTAGAGCTTTTTCCTGTCATACATTAATGGCAGACAAGACTCCATGATACGTACCCAAATTGTCGAATGCGTCCTTCACGGTCAGGAGATCTTCCTGCACGAGGATCTGCAGGAAGAACTTCTGGTCGGACCTGAAAAAGGGAAGATGCAAAGGGAAAACCATAAGTAGTACAGAACTGATATTTGCTGCCCAGGCACGGCTTGCAATCAAGCGGAAGGATGGCCACGAGCCGATTCTCCCTGATCTTGTCCAGCAACTGCCTAACCTCGTCCTTTCGCGGCAGGTCCTCCTCACGCTGCTCGTCCGTTCGGGCAGGTACATCCAGAGCACCAGTAGCCAACTTCGGTGCCTTTCCCTCTTTCGAAGCAGTAGCTGTTGCAGCTTTCTTGCGGGCACTCGGTGAGGATGTCTGCGAGGGAGACTGCTTGGGTCGTGCAAACTTCCCGGAGAAGAGGTCCTCATCCACTGAGGGGATGGCCGACTTGGCCGGTGTGCTGTCACAGAAGTCCGCTGCATCCGACTTGTGTGCGCCCGGGGAGCACGGAGCGGAAGCAGGAGACGAATCATCCTCGTGCTGGTCGCCATCGGACTCGTCCTCGAAGTCCAACTTCCGTGGCTTGATTGATGAAACCTGGTCATGGCCCTCGGGGTGACTCTTCTCAGCCGAGGTCTTCTTGGCCTTGCACGAGCGGCGGCGTCGCTTTCTGGGACTCTCGTGGGGAGCCAGCTTCTCCGAATACTTTGTCAGCACCATCTCCTTCATGTCGCGCTTTGCGTCCTGGAGATAACAGGAAATTGAAGACAGGAGACACGAGCAACAACATGATTCATGTCCAAGCAGAGATCCGCAACGGACTTCTTTTTGGTCTTGGGCTCAGACAATTTGTAAGGAGACACTTGAAACACATGAAGAAGTAGCCTGCGGCTCTTTTGCGCAGCTAAAATTCAATGCAGACAGTGCATCAGTACCACTTCCAGTACTTGTCTTGTCCACCTTTAGGCCGCTTGAAGCCCTTGTCCTCCTTCTCCATCTCACGTGCGGACGGGATGCTGAGATTGAAGTATCAACATGTCAAAGGTCAAACATGAAACATGGCAAGCTGTGAACCGCTCGGATGCAGCGAAGTGTCCTCTTGCCATCCTTCATGATGTCCACAGCAGGAGGCGGAGGATTAATGTTGGGATAGGGGCCCTCCTTCTTGTCACTCTTTTTCTCCATGCCCTTGGGTGGGTACGGCGGCTCCCTGGGCTTCTTTTTGCCCACCAGGCGCTCCCTGTTATCCTGGACAAGGTCCACAACCGTTGGCTTCTCCTTCGGGGCATTCTTCTTCACAGCCGGCTCGGCAACGGGCTTGTCGGGCTTGTCCGGTTTCTGCTCCTCCTCAGGCGGCGCCGGCTTGAACCGGGCAAATACTTCCAGGATTCCACCTGGCACGCGATAACCACCCACAGAGCGGAGAGGACGGGACTTAGGAGCTGCCTTCTTGGCATCCTCATGTCGGGGTCTCGGTCATAGAAGTCTTTAGCAAAGCGGATCGCTTTCTTATCCACTTCATGGCCCTCCTTTTGCCGCTCGGCCTCATATTCGCGCCTCGCTTGGTCCAATGCTTGCTCCGGGTCCGCCTCCGCTGGCGCGTCCTGAGGATCAGACGCCTTGGGGTCCTGAGTTTGCTTCAAGGGCGGCGCCTTCACGTTGCCCGGCGCCAACTCCGACCTGAGCACTTCACGAACCTTGTTGCGGAGTTCCTCCTCAGATCTCGGTGATGGCACGGGACTTGCGCTCTGCGCCTCAGCAGACGCAACAAGCTTCGCCTGCTCCGCCAGTTGCATCATGTACCCATACATCTGGGCCGCATCCGTGGCTGACTGGGAAGCAAACAGGCCCGTTCCCGGATAGCCGAAGGAGGACGCGGAGGAAGCAGATGAAGTCTGGGTACCAGCCGCTGCGGCCGCAGCAAGCTGTTGCAGCCAGCTGGGCTGCGGTTGCTGTGTGGCACCGGCGCCAGCCAGCAGAGCTGCAAATGCCTGCACAACTTGCGGGTCCATCACGTCCCTTTCCCGCACAAACACGTACGGCTCGAGCCAGGGACCTGAACACATGCAGAATTGCCATGGTGGTACGGGAAGCTGACATGCAGACATGGAGTGCAACCCGGTCAGCACGTGCAAGTGAACATGAAGCACTGACATCACTCCAGAAGGAAGGCCGGGCATGCATTTTTCAAAGCCACAGTGCATAGAAGCATTTGCCGTCATAATGGATCATCATGCATTTTGCACACATCATATCCAAACTAGAACACACGAGCATTGCGGCGCACGCTTCTGGGCCCTGCGGGCGTCATGGCACGCTTGGCACGTGTGATGGTGATGGAGACAGTATCCATCCAAGTCATAACATGGCTCAGACCGACCACACACGCGGCCCTGTACATTGCATACGTCACACGGTAGCTTCCTCAGTACCGCACCGGAGCTACTCCCTAAAGTGCTCTCACGAAGCCTCAACTGCACCTCACGACGGTCTAGATCTCGCTCGCGGCTGTCCAGAAGTTCCTCACGCAGGTTGAGTGCTTCCTCGCGCAACTTGAGCGCGTCGTCCGGGGTCATCGAGGAAGCCGGATGGGCCTTGAGCGAAAGCTGTAGTCCAGAAGCCATGACACGGGTGCTTCCCAAATCATGCTTGTCAAGGGCATGTGATTCGGCCATGACTCTAGGTGAGAAGCTCGCGCAAACGCACGCGTCCAAGCCAAAAGATCTTCGTTATGCAAGCTCATGAGCTGGCATGACAGGCAACGAAGCACCAATAAAGACACAAGACAAGTTGCAGGCAACACTTGCGTGCAAGTACATAGTAGCTTGTTACGATTCTAGTCCGGATGTGTTCATGAAAGCATGGCATGGAACCGCAACATGTCACGCAAGAACCCCAGAACGGTCCTCCTTTGAAGTCTCATACAACTTGTGGTACTCCATCTTCATCTCCGATGACTTCTTTTGGCATTTCCTGATCATTGTGAAGACTTATAAAGGCGTCACTCTGGAAATAACGCACAAGTGCAGACTAGCAACTTGCGGTGTCTATTGCCAAGGCTTTGCAACAGAATCGTCAGGTCATCCAAGGTCTTGCAAGTGGAGACGTGGATCTCGTGCGGGGATTTGCCAACAACTGAGCTGTAAGACTTCAACACAAACATCATCACATCGGCCGTGCACGTGTTTGTGCGAAAAAAATGGCCAAACCAGAAAAGATCACGTAAGACAAGCGTCCCAACTTGAGCACGTCGGACAAACGCTTCATCCACAAAGAAGCTGCAGCCTTTGCCTGATGAATCACTGTCATGGTGGAAATGTCGCGCACGCATCACAAAACCACATTGCCTGCTGGTGGGCCCTGGAGGAGCCGGTGCGATCTTTGGTCCGCCTGCAACGTCCAGCCTGATTGGCCAAGATAGCTTCCTGCAACAGAGGCTGCACACAAGTGTAGTTTCGTGCCCACGTGCGAAAGCTAGCAGTGCAATTTTGACTCCAACACCGTATTGCGCAGAACGTCAGAAAGGGACTGGGCATGTACATGCTAGACGTACTTAATGTATGTACAACATGAACTCATGACAAGAACAGCATGGCAACCCTGAATCTGTCCATCTCGCCCCCGAGCTCGAGGACATCGGACGGGAGTATGTAGGGCTGCGAGGATGCGAGAGCATAGGCAACTTGTTTGACGCCGAGGTCCGCAACAGACATCTGCTCCATTGACAGCTTCAACTCTTTGGCTGAGAGCGCCATGAGGCGAACCTTTTGGCGGTTCGCGTCGTCCAAGTCGAACGAGGAATCCTCCGCAGATTCTTCGGTTGATGTAGCACCTGGGAATACGACGAAACGCAGTTCAATCATGGAACGGCACATGCATGCACAAAAAATTGGACACGTACTGACGCAATTAAAGCAGAGGAACGCTTGCGCTTCTTTCCAGAGTCTTTCTTAGCGTTCTTGGCTTTGTTGCCCGCGGAAACGTCACCTGAAAGCGCATTCGCAGACTGATCATGCCGGCATTCCTAAACAGAGTAAGAAACCGTCTGAAGCAGAGGAACCATTGGCCAAGGCGGACGTAAGACGTGTGTGGGCGGAGGCCATAAGGAAATCCTGCGCGGTCTGCCCCTCTTCGTTATCATCCGCAGCCTTGCCGAGGCTGCTAGTCGACCGCATCCTGGAAAATGCTTGTCATATTCTTCCTGTGATGACGTTGGGTCACGCAGGCACAAACTGACGTGAGGGCGGTTTGTAGCCTATCATGATATGACAAGAAATAAGTCTTAATGAGAACGTACGCAACATATTCCAATGTGGCTTCTCAACATGAACGCATCCTTATTGCGTGCGTTTTTCTACAGACGTGAATGTACCTCGTGGAGCATTTACACGCAGCGTGTCAGGAATTCTATGCACTAACGTCAGTCTCCAGCATGTGGTACGTGATATAAAGTGCGTGTGTGAGCAAGGTCATGCATGCACAACGTCCTCGCAAGATTCGTTCGGCCCATATCGGACTCTCAGCAAGCAAGAGGCTGACCAGTGGCAGCCAGCTTTGCCCCGTGCTGTGATCATAGACTGCTCCGGAACATGTCATGCCAGCATGCATATGCATGTACGTCCTATTTGCTTTGGGACAGCACACCGTGAGCATGCACTGCATGGAACTCCAGCGCGCAATTGATGTATGATGCCCTGAAGGAGCTACATGGATGCCATGAAACATGCGCGGAAACCGCCAATAATTGCATACCGAAACCTTCGTGACATGCCAATTCGAGATGAACTATGCGGTACATGACCGCCCAAGTCTTGAATGCATGATGCCGTGCATGTACCATCTACAGCGGCGAGGCCGCCATTATCTTGAGAAGTTCACGTGTAAAGGCATAAGACGTGATAAGAAGCATGCAAGCCTTGTACATTCTCCCCTGAAATACTGTCCTGGCCTCATGTGTCCATGCCGTGAAAGTGTTGCATGATGCGTGCGGCTGAGCCGCCAAGAACATGTTACAGTCATGGCATGTCCAATCGTGACTGACATATGTGCCTTTCGTGCACTACGCAAGAAAACAGGAAACCAGCACCCTTCCACGACTTTGTTTCTTTTGCGCGGACAGAACCAACGTCGAGAGGACGCAGGGAAACATCCGGGTGCGAGAGGCAGAAGCAGGCATGCTGAGCAATGTATTGTGCCATAGATACGAATCCTACGCTGAAAATGTCCACAATATTCTTTAAGTAGCTGCTGAGAAAATATTTTCGTTGAGATTCCCTTGTTTGAAACCTGTGTGTCAGCAAGCAGCCTCAGCAAAACATGTATGAACAGGTTGTCAATCCTGCGCAGAATTATAATTACAAATTGCAGCAAGCTAGCATAAGCCGTACACAGTGCCTAATCCATGTCGACATCCAGCCATTGCCAGTCATCGTCCGAGATTTCGTGAATCTCCACATAGCTATCAACCTGCAAGCACATGGATGTAATGTTTACATACGCAAACTATGCATAATCGCCGACATGTCCAGTACAGAATTGGAAGTAGGAAGTGGTTTGAGACAATAACTCTAAGTTTCAAAAACCCTAGGAAGGACCAATATCAGCTTGATAGCTCACGGCAGAGGTTCTGACTGACGTTATTCACATGTCCTTGCCTGGGCTCTCTCCCTGGCAAAGTTGTACCTGTCCAGGAAGACCCACGGCAGCTCCGTGTAGAGATCTGAAACCTGAAAAAGAAGCAAGTCAACAACTCAGTAGGGACAGTGATAGAAGCATGAACGGAGGCTGTTGATGAAACTTTTTTACGTAAATACTAGCAGACTTCAGAGCTACTTTTATATAGAGCATGATGAAGAACAACAATCACGCGGGAACTGCAGAGAAATAAGATACAAGCAGCGCAAGTTCACATTTGTACATAGTACACATGTACATTTAAACACTTTAAGCATTCAACAAACTAACTTTAACACACAACCGTAACATCATGAAGAACAACATACCCTGCATGAGAGCTTGAAAAGGGCCAAAAGACCTTGAGAGCACAAGCCACGTTCATCCAGATAGGATTGGGATGCCAGGGCCGAACATTGGCTGCCACAGCCTCGTGAAATCTCTGATCAAGATCCTCAGAGAAATCAATCACGAAAAGGTGAGGAAGGCAGTAGAAGAATACATACTTTCACCATGTTTTTTTTTCGAAGTACCTAACTAACTTGTCCTTCTGAAGCTACACATTCCAGCAAGTGTCCTCGGCTGCTAACTGCGCAGCAATACGGGGAATAGTGACAGGCAGCATGTTGATGACTCGATCTGCGGGGTCTCGATACTGCATCTTCAAAATCAATGCAACCTCGGGGAGAACTAACATGTGAGAAATGCAAAAAGGAGGCAACATGAGCAAGCGTATACATGCATCCAAGCGTCCGCACGGCCAAACGTCTTGGGGTATATTTGAGATGCGCTCATGGCCGACGACCCCGACCACCATTGTCCGGACGTCTCTCCAAGGCGTTCGCTCGCCTTGACCAAGAACCTGCATGCAAGTCAGGAGTGTGCAACATGTAACAGAAAACCACAGTCATAATAGATTTGAAGTGAAAACAAGGCACATGTCATGAAGGCATTCTTCTTGTTGAAGCGCTCTGAGACAGCGCATCAAGAAATAATGCGTACCCCAGAGCTGCAGTGGCTTCCTGAGCTTTTTTTTTGCGCGAATCCAACACCAAAGTGTTAAGACAAGAAGCACAGAAGGGGATGCGAAATATCCCATTCGGATCACAACCTTCAACCACGAGAAGGCATGGGCACAGGCCTCAGAAGAAAGAAAACAGTAGCTGGCACGGAAGAGAATCACATTGGTCAGATATTTGTAATGCATCAAAGTCACAGTGACAGCGCTGTATTTGAAGAATTGAGAGCTCGTTGGTTGCTCAACCACGACCAAGACCCGGAGATTATATAACATGGTCACAATGTCCGATACAAACTCCTCGCCAATTTCATGAAAGCCATTTGCACACATGTTGGGCTGTCAGCAAGAAGAATCACATGGGT